ATTGTTGGATTCGTGGACTGGTCACTGTCCAGATTTAAGCTCATCCGAATCGGAGAGGGATGGTTCCATGCATCTCCTTGTAAGGTACAATCGTCGACAAAAGTAAATGGTAACATAATATATTTATTAATATATTTTTAAAATGTTAATTATCACTTTTCCAACATTTGATTAACTTTATTTGCGATTTTTTAATTTTCCACAATAAAAGGTTTAGCAGTGAAAATGCCTTGAATTCAACTTTTTTATTTATTTAACAACTGTGTCGTGGCGGTCGTCACAAGAAAGTTAGAGTAGAAGAATTGTCGCGATCACGCGAAATCGCGTGCCTCCTTTATCCTCCGAATCGGGAAGGGAAAGGCGAAGAGGGCAACCCGCGAGTTGGTTGTAGGAGACGGCGGGCGCTTCCACGATTCAGAGACAGGAAGAAGAGCCACCAGCATCAGGAGACCAAGCTCGCCTGGGATATCTCGTACCGGGGAGGAAAGAGAACACCATAACCCGCTAAAAAATAATACTAAAAAGGCAGAGCACGCTGTCGTAGATAAATATATGTTCCGCAGGTGTCCGAGAGTTGTCGAGCACGGAGGAGGCGACGGATGGCAGACGAGATGTGGCGGACCCGAAGAAGGAAAGGTCACACGGGGTCAACATCGCAAGTCAGCTAGGCCCAGGCTGACGCTGTGGACAACGACACAACAGCCTCGGAGAGCTGTTGCGATTCAGAAATTCCGATGTGTCACGTCTTAGTTATTTAAAACGTGTTTATGTTGTCCTTTTTGGGTCAATGGATTTAACCACTTTACCCCGGGATGGACAAGTTCGTGTGATTGTGAATGAATAAATGTGTAAACGGATGTGTGTGTGTGTGTGTGAATTTAGGCGAATAAACTAAAATAATAATTTACTTACTGCTTGAGCTTTTGTTTTTCCTTTAAAGTAATTTGATGGTTCTTAAACGCTTTCTGTTCAATGGTCACAGAGAGACTGAGGAGCTTAGGACCGGACTCAAGAGCTTCGTGGACGAAGGTTTGGGAATATGAGTAAAGTGTAACGCGACGCTTAAGAATCAGTCAGAGAATATGATAGGAAAACAAACCTTTATCTATTTAATAACTTATTTATGACCCTTAATGTTTTATCTTAGTGATTCAATTGTTATATATATTGTTTTATGTGTTTAATTGATTGGTTTACTGAATTGAAAGCTAAAAATTGAAACTGAACTAAAACCAAAACTATACTAAACTATTTTTCTCAACTAACTAACTGACTTTCTAAAACTTCTATTACTCAAAAACTAACTAACTGTGTGGGCAGTCGCACCCGTTTTTATAGGCAGGTGGCGAGATACCCCCGCGCGAGTTCTCACCACCTTTTAGTAGAAGGGGAAAGATGCTTTTCACGACATGTGAGCAATAATCAATAGTTAGATTTTGACACCTTACTATCAATTCATTGTTCATCGATCACCCAGGGCTTTTATCGCATTCCTAGTGGTAACAGAAGGTGCACTTAATCGAAATGGAAAGAAGTTACGTCGGACGTAACAGATGAGAGGACCGGATGAAACACCGATCTGCCGAAAACAACGGAAAACACGCCAAGGAGGGGAGACGAGATTTTAAAGAGAAGCCCCGGTACAGAGAGGACACTCTTCGTCCGTATCGTAAAATTGGCGGATTGTGACAATTATCGTGAGCGGCTGTCGTCAGTGCGAGAGCATAATACCGAGCGAACAAACCCTGTGTGTAAGGCGACGAACGAGAGGCGAGCGAAGGATCGGTGGAGCGACGAGAAGGTCTAGCTGAGGAACGCATCGGCGATTTATGTAAGGTTGCCCTCTCCTATCACAACGTTATTGTCCGTGTCAGTGTAGGGGAGTGTTGCTACTGGAGAGACGCCTATCAGGGGAGCTGGCGCGGGTAGAGCGACCGACCAAATATTTTGTAATTCGCGTGCGAGTGAATATTCGTGGGAAGGTCGCTCGACTATCGGTCAATCTCTCGCAGGGTAGTGCGATGCTCCAAATATAGCTGTCAAGGCGAGAGTATTAGACCCGATCTACAATAAAGTTTGCCCGTCTACATCACATGGAGTAAACCTGAATTAAGTAGTAAGGCCCGATCTACAATACATGGAGTAAGGAGTAGGAGTAAGAAATAAGCAGTAGACAAATTGACCAATTCTATTCTCACGTTTTAAAAATAATCGATTGTGATTGGTCTGTTTACTTACTGCTTATTTCTTACTCCTACTCCTACTCCTTACTCCATCTATTGTAGATCGGGTCTAAAGCGTCGTCTACAATATGCGGAGTAAGCTTGGAGTAAGAAGTAAGCCATAAGAATTGGCCAATCGTAGTCGATTATTATAAAAATAATCGTCTATGATTGATTAATTCTTACGGCTTACTTCTTACTCCAAGCTTACTCCGCATATTGTAGACGACGCTTTAGACCCGATCTACAATAGATGGAGTAAGGAGTAGGAGTAGGAGTAAGAAATAAGCAGTAAGTAAACAGACCAATCACAATCGATTATTTTTAAAACGTGAGAATAGAATTGGTCAATTTGTCTACTGCTTATTTCTTACTCCTACTCCTTACTCCATGTATTGTAGATCGGGCCTTACTACTTAATTCAGGTTTACTCCATGTGATGTAGACGGGCAAACTTTATTGTAGATCGGGTCCCCCCCCCCGATTTTGATGCGCTTTGGATATGTTGTAGAGCATCAAAAAGTAGTCGACACGTATTTTTTTTTATTGGCCATATATTAAGTTTAGGGGTTGAAAAAGCCCCTTGAAAAAAATGACTTTTCCATTTTTATTGAATATTTTCTAAAATATAAGGTATATGAAAAAATGTTTCCTACAAAAGTTGTACAGTATTTAACTTTTTGAAACAACTTTTATTTAACTCTTTGAAACAATATATTAAATTTTTTCCAAAACATCACATTTTTTACCCCCTCCCCCCTACTCATTACCTTTGTAAGTTTTTGTAAGGATAAAAATTGTACAGCCATATACATCTAGTGGTTATATTTTTCCCGTTGTACCAGCCGGAATTGTTAGAAAATATATATCTGTTGCAGAATTTGGTCTACTTTCGGCAATTATGTTGGGACAATGTCCACTCCAAGAATCTAATAGCAATACAGATTGTGGTCCGACGTTCGGAAAGCAAACTTCTCTCAACTAGGTTTTTACATGATTTTATGTTAATTTAGCTGACTTTGAAACCATTACGTAAATCTTAGGAACGTTAAATAACGATTGCTGCACTCGTGGATCAAACGTTCCTAGATTCTTTTAATACGATGAAAAGAGGCGACAATAATCTACCATCAGCAGAAATAGTTGGCTGTATTGTGTAACTATGCGTGGTCGCGTGGTCGCGTGGATACAAACTGTACTACAGATTTTATTGTTTTTGCATCTTTATTTGTTAAAGTACGACCGGCGTGAAGTTCTAACTGGAATCCACTCTGATCCGAATTATAAATATTTTCTACTCCATATTGATTAATAAAATATTTAACATTTGTTGTAAATGTTTTGCACTTATTTTCAAAATCTGATTTTGATAACAAAGATTTTTTCGTGACAAATTTCGTTATTTTACAAAATAATATATTATGTTTTTTGAATCTATGTATCGACGTATATGACGCTATGAATCCTGGCGCATTTATCTCTTGTTGTGCTCGAGAAGCCCATCGACCGATGTCATCATGAATTATCATTCCTCTTTGCAGCGCTTCATTGAAAGTGTTCAATGTATATTCAGCAATTTTTTGCAATTTTTCTCTTCTTGTACCACTTGCATGGATATACTTCTCTCATCGTCGTAATTGTCGTAGCGATGTTACTTGTTTATAATTGTGTTTTACCGACTCCAATGATTTTGGTCTTGTTTTACCGCTTCTCCAGTATTCCACAGCTTGCCTTTTGTAGTCGTTTGATATTGCTGCTTCAACAGAAGTACAAATAACTTCTTCTGGAAGATAATTCTCATCTTTATCACTATTTTCACATTTTTATCGCATCAAAAACTTTTAAAAACTCGCTTCCTTCCGGGCTCGATTTCTCGGGCCCCATGCACCCTACCAAAATAAGACATAGTTCGTCGCCTTCAGCTCATCGAGGTCTTTAATTTGGTATACAGGGTATAGCAAAAGTACCGGAACGGCAAGATAACTCGGCGAGGAAGCATTTTAGAGAAAAATGTTTCGAATAAAAATTGTAAGGCTTAAAAAGTCGCATTTAATGACAGTTATTTGACCTAAGATGACGTCGCCAAGGTCAGGACAAGGTCAACTTTGCTTTTTTAAATAGAAATACATATTTTTTATTACGGCATTTTATTTTACGTGAAAAAAGCAAACAACTTTTGCTTGAAAAAATTTTTTATACGACCTCTATTTTCTAAGATATTTACGTAAATATCTACAAAATTATTGGTTTCAATAATTTTTTACTTGAATTCTATCAACTTTACCGAAAAATATCAAGAGATAAAAATTATTTATTTTGTTCTCATAGAGCTCTGAGAATTTTTTCAGAATTTTATATTAATTTTTTAGTACTGCATTTTCTTGCATTTTCTTGAAGTACTAAAAAGTTAACACAAAATTCTGAAAAAATTCTCAGAGCTCTTTGAAAACAAAATAAGCAATTTTTATCTCTTAATATTTTTCGGTAAAGTTAATAGAATTCAAGTAAAAAATTATTGAAACCAATAATTTTGTAGATATTTACGTAAATATCTTAGAAAATAGAGGTCGTATAAAAATTTTTTTCAATCAAAAGTTGTTTGCTTTTTTACGTAGAATAAAATTCCGTAATAAAAAAATATGTATTTCTATTTAAAAAAGCAAAGTTGACCTTGTCCTGACCTTGGCGACGTCATCTTAGGTCAAATAACTACTGTCATTAAATGCGACTTTTTAAGCCTTACAACTTTTATTCGAAACATTTTTCTCTAAAATGCTCCCCCGCCGAGTTTTCTTGCTATTCCGGTACTTTTGCTATACCCTGTATATATCGACCCCATATTGAACTGCCGGGAATATAGGCACATCTTGGCCGCTCTCTTTTGCAAATGTTCTGATAATCAATAAAAAAAAAAACGCGTTGGTAAAGTACACTTTGGGTGATGTGGAAATCTATTGTATGTGTGTTACATTGTTAATTTTAATAATATAAATGTATTGCTAGCGCGCGCTTCAAAATATTATATATAGACGAGTTGTTTTGTAAAAATTTTTTATTGATTAAAGAAGTCAAGGTAAAGACCAAGGAGATTAGCAATTTATTTCTAACTGTCAAATAAATTACCGAATACGCCAAATAAGAAAACAAATAGCAATGCAACACACTATTACTATTGTTGTTACATATCCACATTTATTTGTGTTCACGTTTTTATTTTGTGTAATACATTACATATTATTAGGATTAATTTTCATTAGGATTAATTATTAGGATTAATTTTCATCTTGTAGTATGAGAAAATATGCAAATAGTAATCAAGCATAATGCAACTAAAGAGAATACAATGTAACAATACAGGCACCGCGCAGCGTGGCGCATATAGCACGATTCTATCATCGCGTTTTTCCAAAAATAGAATCAAGAAACTATAACATTATTATATATGGATGAATTTTGTATTCAATGCTCCTTAATTTTTGTCTTTACAAAAATTTCAAAATTTGTGAAAATAACAAGTGTGAGCAGAGAGAAAGGGGAGGAGGTAAAATTTGATATTTTGAAAAATTTGAATAGACCGATGTAAAGAGCATAAAATACTATAACTATAAGAGTATAAAATACTAAACGTTTACATTTAATACTTTTTCATATACATCATATTTTAAAAAATATTTAGTAAAAACGAAAAAGTTTTTTTCGAGGAGTGGTTTCAACTCCTAAACGTCGAGATAAGACCATATAAAAAAAATACGTGTCGAATAGTTTTTGATGTTCTACAAAATATCCAATGCGCATCAAAATCAATGAGGGACAGTTCCGATTCGTTCCTTGTAAAAGAGATACATATTACCTTGTATATCAACATAAATTAATCCAGTAACTGTTTATTTACGTTAGCTATGTGAAATGTCCCATGCATCTCAATATATTTCCATATAACTGACAATGAAACATATGAAAACGTCTGCCTCCGATTTTGATGAGCTTAAAATATATTGTAATTTAGATAACAAAATAAGGGATACGTTTTTTTGCTCAATCATCTTTTAGGAAGTAAAACATCCTTTTGATAAAAATCGGTATTTTTCTTTCGAAGTATGTTTCGTCAAAAATATAAGACATAGAAACAAATAAAAATTAAATGGTTGGAAGAGTTTGTAATGATGTTCTCAATTTTTTCTCAAAACTTATAATTTTAAACATATCCTCAACATTCACCAATTTTTTTATAATCTAAAAATTTACCAAAATTTATTTACCAAAAATTTACCATTCCTTTTGATTTGATTTCTACCAAATAAAAGAATATTTTATGTCGAATCAAACCATATATAATAATGTTATTTCCTGATATATGGACTTTTCGAAAAATAAATAAGAATACCTCTATATACCCGTAACATTATCCGTAGCTCTTATAGAAATATCATACTAAGAATCATTGATAATTACTTATTATCCAGTATTTTTAATACTGAAAATAAATAATTATCAATGATTCTTAGTATGATATTTCTATAAGGGAGTCGCCTATATTACTCGATACATATATACAACATGTCTTCTTCGAAATCATATTAAGAAACAAATAGTATCAATATGCAGAATATGTAATTATAAAACGTTTCAATATATAACACATACACACAACACAACAATGAGTTATAAATTAGTTATATATTCCAATACTTTGTCTTTATAAAAAGGTATATATACGATTTCTGAAAATAAAAATTTATTTATGAGAAGTTTGTGCATCTATTTTTATAGTGTATGACGTAATTACCACGACAAAAGCGATACACGAGTTGCAAAAATTCGGTTATATTTATTAACGCTAAATTTCCACTTGATTTATTAAGTTTCCACTTTATTTATTTGCATTCCAATATTTATTGTAAGTATTGAAAATATATGGAATACATATAATAAAAGTTTTATTCCTAAATCTGATAGCATTTTCTAATCTAAAAATGTTTTCTAAAATTTTTCCATAATCGAAAATCGTAAACATCTAACTGTTTTTAGTCTGTTGTTCCTGCAAGTATAGTAAAAATGATATTTTCTGCAGAATCTGGCCTATTTTTTTGAATTACATACGAACTGTGAGCAGTCCATGAATTCAACAATAAAATGTAAGACCAAATTTGGAATATAGATCTCTTCACCAAACCTAAAAATAATATAATGTTAATTTTCCGGATTTCGATTATAACAAAAATATAATTTTCTTTAATATTCGATTATAACAAAAATATAATTTTCTTTAAACATTATTTCTTGCATTCTCGAACCAAATTTTATTATAGATTCTTTTAACATAACAGAAAAAAGAGGTGATAAGAATTTCTTACTCATTCACATGAAGTTGTACATTCTGGAACATTTATTTCTTCTTACACTTCAAAGGCCCATCCAGCAATATTGATGTCATGGATTAATATTTCTTTGTCCAGAGGTGTTTGAAAATTTCTGTAATAAAATTTATTTTAGTTTCTTCAATTTAATCCCACCCGCTTCTACGCACTTGTTCTATTACTTGTGCTATCGTCACAATCGTCGTACAGATATCACTTTGAATCTACGTTTATCGCTGTAACTTCGATACATGCGAGATTTAATTAACACGCACTGTTTCTGATAGGATTGCAATTTGATTGTTTACATATATATATAAATGTTTTATAAAATTTTTCCATAATCGAGAATCGTAAACATCTAACAGTTGTTTTTAGTCTGTTGTTCCTGCAAGTATAGTAAAAATGATATTTTCTGCAGAATTTGGCCTATTTCTTTGAATTACATACGAACTGTGAGCAGTCCATGAATTCAACAATAAAATTTAAGACCAAATTTGGAAAATAGATCTCTTCACCAAACCTGAAAATAATATAATGTTAATTTTCCGGATTTCGTTTATAACAAAAATATAATTTTCTTTAATCGATTATAACAAAAATATAATTTTCTTTAAACATTATTTCTTGCATTCTCGAACCAAATTTTATTATAGATTCTTTTAACATAACAGAAAAAAGAGGTGATAAGAATTTCTTACTCATTCACATGAAGTTGTACATTCTGGAACATTTATTTCTTCTTACACTTCAAAGGCCCATCCAGCAATATTGATGTCATGGATTAATATTTCTTTGTCCAGAGGTGTTTGAAAATTTCTGTAATAAAATTTATTTTAGTTTCTTCAATTTAATCCTACCCGCTTCTGCGCACTTGTTCTATTACTTGTGTTATCGTCACAATCGTCGTACAGATATCACTTTGAATCTACGTTTACCGTTCTCCAGCGATCTTTTCTTACTCCCCTTAATCGAATTCCAAAACACTATATTTCTTATTCTGACTATATTTTTTATACTTTATTACAATTTGATTGTCTACATATGTCATTTCTTTTACGTAATAGAAATTTCAGATAAATTTAAAGATATAACTTTTATAGAAAAGTATCACTGGCTGTGATAAATTAGCCAATAATAAATAGTAATTTTATTATTCGTACGAGTAATAAAATTATTGAACAACAGTAATTATCACTGGCCAAATTATCATTTATCAGTATTAAATTTCTATAAGGGAAATTCTGTATATAGCAGTATTACTACGTTGATCGAATTGAATAGCATTTTAAAATTATAAACATTATATATATTCTTATGTTTCAAATATAATTAGTCATAATACTCAAAATATAATAACGTCTTATCATTAGATACAACATATTTATAAAATTTTGTACCACTTTTTGTAAGATCTGATTTTGTGTGAAATATATGTTTCATAGAGAACATTTATTCAATAGAATAACATTATGTGATATAGGGACAAAATTTTTTGATATCTGTATTACATGGCTTATAAAGATAATGCAATGAACCACGAAACGTTTCTTTACAATACTATAATAAAAATAATGATTAAACAAAAAGTAAATAAACAAAAAGTTATGTGAAAAATATTAATATTAAAAGAAATTTTAAATATAGTGATATGCACATACAAGCTTGCAGTCACGAATAATACGTTGTAAAACGATGAAACATATTGACGCTCACTGTGAAATGTTAGCTATTATACTATTGATTATATATAATATATATGTACATCATACTTACTCACTTGCATTGCACAAACGTGGCTAACAACTTTTTTCCTGCACTTTGAACACTTCTGCATCTTACACAGCAATTTCACATAGCTTCACATAGCTTTATATAGCTTATTATTAAACTTTTATTATATCTATAACTGAACTAACGATAAACAAAATGGAAATAAAATAAGACGGAAAAACGACGATGAATCGCCATATCGGATATGGCATAGACATGTTGGATATTTACAATTAAAATAAATATTATATTATATACCATTATATAACGCATTATAGTATATACCATTATGTAACGCATGATCTCATTAATATATGCAATGTTTTCAGCATATATAATGAAATTAGTGGAAATTTCGCGTTAATAAACAAATGAATGAATAAACAAATGAATATTATATACCATTATATGACGCATTATAGTATATACCATTATGTAACGCATGATCTCATTAATATATGCAATGTTTTCAGCATATATAATGAATTTAGTGGAAATTTCGCGTTAATAAACAAATGAATGATATTGCAATTCGTGTATTTCGCTTCGTCGTAATAGTTATGTCACACATTGCAAAATTAAGACGCACCAATAAAATTTTATAAATAAAATTTCATTTCCAGAAACCGTATATATACCGTATATAAACCGTATATATATATATACCGTATAACCGTATAATTAATATATAACCGTATTTTCATAAAGACAAAGTATGGGAATATACAACTATTGTATATAAAACAATTAGTATTATTGTTGTATTATTGTTGTATATAAATTAGTATTATTGTTGTTGTTGTTGTTGTTGTGTGTTGTTATACATTAAAAATGTGTTGTTTTATGGTTACATATTCTGCATATTAGTATTAATTGTTTCTTACTAATGAGGAAGTACAAAGAGGACACGTTGCGTATACATATTAAGTGGAATAGGCGACTACGGATAGCGTTACGGATATATGGAGGTGTTCCTACTTATTTCTCAAAAGTCCGTGAAAATGACATTATTATATATAGTTAGATGCAGCATAAAATATTCTTTCAGTTGGTAGGAACAAAATATTTAGATTATAAAAAAATTAGTGAGTGATAAAAAAAAATATATATATATATATATATGTGTGTGTGTGTGTGTGTGTGTGTGTGTGTGTGTGTGTGTGTGTGTTTGTATGATATTTTATCACTCACTAATTTTTTGTTCCTAAATATTTTGTTCTTACATATTATTTAACTTTATTATTTTATATATATTTTATATATATATTTTTGTTATATATAAAATAATTTAAAATAATATTTAAAATAATAAGTTTTAATAAAACTGAAAACATTATTACAATGTACTCTATAAAATATTTAATTTTTATTTAGAAATTTTTTTTCTATCTCCTTTTGACAAAATATATTTCGAAAGAAAAATACCGATTTTTTTTCAAAAGAGTGTTTCACTTCTAAACTCTAAGGTCTAAAAGACGGACTAAAAGACAGCATGTATAAAAAAAAAATATATCCCTTATTTTGGACTAGAATAAAACATATTTTAAGATTGTGCAATGACACACCAAAATTATTCATTAATCGGAAATTTCTATGTTTCTTTATAGGATATATCCATATAACATATCTATTAGACGATAATAGTCACATTCTCCTTCTCTTTTTCGTACATCCCGAGACTACCGAGAGAGCACAGAGAATTCAAAAAGAATTCTGTCATATGTCACTAATTCACTTTTTGGTGCAAAAAGAATTCTTTTCACTGAACTGAACTCTGAAGAATTCTTTTCTGAAAATAAACTCAGAATTTGTGTCATACGACTGAATTCTTTTCGAATTCTTTTTGAATTCTCTGTACTATCTGAATACCCATTAACCATTAGTCTTATTAACTAGTCTTATTTAAGTAGTGAATATTGCTTGTTTGGTATATTGCTACTATCCGTTAATAAGTTAAATTTTATAGTCTTTGAAAATAATCCAAAGTATATCTAAAAAATCGCAGATCAAGTCTGAATAAGCTTAAATACGTTCTTTCGTGACGGCAGTTAAGTCAAAACTTTCAATAGACATATGAAACTTGGAACTGTAAATTTCTAATAAACATTTGCTGGAAGTTACAAGAACGTTTAATGGATATTTTCGATTTCCATCATAGATGTCTAATAGCGAATTCGGTAACTTGCACTAGTGCGCACTGAGTGCGCGTTAAGGCATGTTTACAGTACATTCTTATTTAAGATCGTGTCTTAAATACATATTTAAAAACATTTTAGCTAAAATGATTCGTATGGACGTTTTACATATCATATTATTGGTTAAAAATATTTAAGAATTTACTTAAGACAATCTATAAATATAATATACTATGAAGCCTTAGTGCACACTCAGTGCGTACTAGTGCAAGCAACCGAATTCGCTATAATAGAGGTTTCTGTTCTGCGCCGCGCACGCGCACATTCGGTATACATACATATATAAAATTATACAGTAGATGTATTACTTAATTCTATCGACTCTGTTTGTGTAATATAAACATGTACTTTTAATAGCATCTCTTACTAGGCTGACTATCGCAAATTAATTTAGCAACTTCGTAAGTATGACATAATCATGTCATACTATTCATAGCAGAAAAGATTTAGTAGTTATAATTGAGAGGTGAAGATACAACTCTTATAGGAAAATATTACTGATAATACTTTTTATACCACCTCTTACTAACAAGGAGCCCCACGTAGATGATTATCTCCGATTTGGATGAGTTTGAAATATGTTGTAATCTAGACCAAAAGAGGAGACACGTATTTTTTTCAAAGGGATATTTTGTCTCCTAAAAGTCCGCTTGGGCATGTATAAAAAAATACGTGTCTCCTCTTTTGGCCTAGATTACAATATATTTCAAGCTCATTCAAATCGGAGGTAACCACCTACGTGGGGTTCCTTGTATGTCGATTATCGCAAATTAATTTAGCAATCTCGTAAGTATGACATAATCATGTCATACTGTTCATAGCAGAAAAGACTTACTAGTTGTAATTGAGGTAAAGATGCAATTCTTATAGAAAAGTATTACTAAAGAAATTACTAAAGAAATAGTAGTGATTAGTCAGTGATTCAGTGATTATTTGGCAAATTATTATATATGGTACATTTTCTGTTTAATTTCCACATATTAACCTATCAGAATAGAATAGTCTAATATTGATTATTGATTATTTTGTTTAAATAATAAAAACTTAGCATTTCATATTTTGCGTCGCTATGTGATTTTGATCTTGTAGTGATTACCCCTATTTTTTCTCATATCGTGTTATTCACTGGTTAACCTAAATAATCGAACTAAAACTCATGAAATGTGACAATACCTTATTGAATTATAATTATAATATGCTCTTGTATCGTTCAAACAATAAATAATGACATATTTATTGACAATACAAACAATGCAACGACAATCGAAATGTGACTAATATATATATTATAATGTATATCAGCGAATTCTATTAAAACTATATGATTGCTCTTAGATTTTCAATCAAACATTATAACGAACTAAGGCAAACAATAAATTCGTTTGAAAAGATATGAAACAATTTATACTACAAGATATGAAACAATTTATACTAATCATGAAAAAGTTGATGTTTATCCATCTCGTTATTAGAGAATAATTCACACTAGTATTTTAGAAGAACCTAATAATACATTATCACTGTCGTAATCACTACCGTAATCACTGAATTACTCTGTAGCATTAATAACCCTGTACTCAAATTGTTTAAGTACTCAAATTCATTTGCCACTAGTAATAAAACTACTGAATTCTCGATATTTTTCTCTTTCTGGAACGAAAAGATACGCAGATCTCGAGCGTCTAGCACGGCGTCCCGCCGCCACCTAATATGCCCTCCTCCTCCTATGGTTAGTAATTTACTACTAACCAATCAGTATTACTTTCTTGCAAGGGAAGAACTTTGCATACCCTATTGTTAGTTATTGTTGTACCTTTATACATTCCAATCCTTTTAGCTTTTTTAAGTTTTCAAAGATACGATCGATAATGTCAATCCAAAAATAAATATTTTAATTTTGGTAATATTACAATAGCTTCTGCTCCGGCATTGTTCCCGTAGGAGCACCCTGTTGGATAAGAAATAATATATTTAAAATATTTATAATATATTTAGAATATATATTTGTGAAGAGAAAAATATAAAAGATATACCATATAATATACTAGAAGTGTATTTTGAAGAAGAGAGAAATTGTCTAAAGAATCTGAAGATAATTCAAACATCTGCAGACAATTCATTGCTACTTTAATGAGTAACATATCCTCTAGTCGAGATAAATAGCATTTGCGAACATATAATTCCAATGTTTGCACACTATAAAAAAAAATAATAAAGTAATGCATGAAAGTTTTTTTATACAAAGAGAAAGTTATAGAAATAACTGTAACTAACATTCATTAAACTTCTTACCTATTTGTAAAAAATTGATAAAAATTGAAAAATATACAACAAGCAATCATCGTGCAGCATATAAATAGATGCATCTCTGAAATCATATTTCTGAATTTTTTCATGCCTGACATGCCTGACATGTCTGGATTTCTTTCAGGCGATCTTTTATACAATCAGGTTTATAATCATTTGCAGCCTTTACTGTCAAGTCTTCTATCGTGCAAACTTATTTGTTTATCATTATTTAAAGCTCTGTAAATAATCAGATGTTATGAGCAGTGATCAATGTTAATGTCTTTCCTAGTAGCAGAATAATATAAAATGACATATTATTGATGTTAGAAACGTCATTAAAACATAATTTGACGTTATTATGTTTGCTAGATCTTTATTGAAATTTACCTTATTGCACTTAAAGAATCATTCAATGTAATATAGGTATAGTTTATTCTTCCTTCATTTCTATGCACGCAGCAACGTTTAAACTTGTCATATACAGAAAAGAGTCTTTCTCACATTTTTAAAATTAGCCTGTAAAAATTTGGTATAGCATTTATAGTGTTTATAGTTTGATATTGCATTTTTTTTACCAGCCGCGGAGTCAGTTCGAGCCTTTATCCTATCTTTCAAGCTCTATTGACTGGTAGAGTCTTATGACTATTCATTAATCAAGTACGGGTCGATTAAAATTCATGTGTTTGAAAACACTGTTAGATAATATACATGCTATTGAGCTGATAAAAATCGTCTTCCGAAATGCATTAAAAATGTTGACAGTTCCGAAGTGTTTTTATGTTCCAAAATTATTTTCAACGTGTTGCAAGAGAATAAACAGTGCTTTATAGAGGTTATAACTAAAGTAAACGTCCTAGTGACTGAATGTGTACCGATAATTGAATTACTAATAATATACTTGTGTTTGTCAAGATGCTTATCAATAAAAGAAACAAAATCACAAAGTAACTAAATATTTCTTTTCATTTATTATATTGTTTTGTATGTTGAAAAGCATTTCAACAAAGAAAAATACAAAACCAATATGTCAATCATTGGGACATGTATGTTCGACCACTGAGACGTTTACCTTATATATCGGTAATTTATAAGTTTGTAATCGATATTTTAACTAAAAAAAAATTTATTCAATTTAAATAAATATATTTATTCAAATATGTTTTACTTATAATAAGAGGTTATTTATTAAATTGTAATGAGTAATAATTCACTTTAAAAATATATTTAATAAAATTGAAGAAATATTTTATCCAACGTGAAATAACTTCGAAACAAATAACGAATAAATGTTATTGAGACAATCGTTGCTCAAATTGAATAACTTATTCTTTACAACTAAAAAATTAAAAATTTTTAAATTGAGGAAATAACTTTAAATACATTTTTTTCAAACCAATTAATTATTTTACTCAATAATAATACACTATTTTGTAAAAATTGTTTTACTCAAATTGAAGAAGTGTTTGTCTCAAAACATCAAATTCTGTTGATATCGTTTATTCAAATCTAAGAAAATATTTTCTGAATTAGAATTTTTGGATATTGTAAAAATGAGTAAAATATTTATTTAAGATTAATTGTTTCAAAACAACTATATAATACATTAAATAATAATAACCTATTTATAACCTAATAATAAAAACTGTATAATCCATTTAATAATAATGACCTAGGTAAAACTAAAACTATATAATCCATTTAATAATAATGACCTAGGTCATTATTATTAAATGGATTATATAGTTGTTTTGAAACAATTAATCTTAAATAAATATTTTACTCTTTTTTACAATATCCAAAAATTGTAATTCAGAAAATATTTTCTTTAATTTAAATAAACAATATCAACAGAATTTGATATTTTCAGACAAATATTTTTTCAATTTAAGTAAAACAATTTTTACAAAATAGTGTATTATTATTGAGTAAAATAATTAATTGGTTTGAAAAAATATTCATTTAAAGTTATTTCCTCAATTTGAAAATATTATATTTTTCAGTTGTAAAGAATACGTTATTCAATTTGAGCAATGGTTGTCTCAATAACATTTATTCGTTATTTATTTCAAAATAATTTCACGTTGGATAAAATATTTTTTTAATTTTATTAAATATATTTTTAAAGTGAATTATTGCTTATTAAAATTTAAAAAATAAGATGTTATTGTAACTAAAACATTTGAATAAATATATTTATTTAGATTAAATACAT